CTGCCTTGGTGGGAATCGGCCGGTGTGATAATAAAAAAATAATAATAATAATACATTTAGTTCAAAATCATGGAAATGTCACATTAATAAGGAAGTTTAATTATTCTTCCTGTAATTAAGTCTTCAATAACATTTACGTCTTTGTCTTAACAAGACTGTAAACTCAAAATGCAAAAGGTACAAGATTTAACAAGACCTTTGAATCTGGCCGTAAAGTATCTCTATGGATTACTGAACTGACCAAGGATATAAATATCAAAAGAATCTTTCAGAGCAATGAGGAACAAACTGAGTCAGCTCTAGAGTCCAATTCTCAAAACCATTCAAACTGTACACCGTAAGAGCCAATATACGATCAGTTGTCAGGGCTAGAGCAGGGAGCAGACTGACTACTTGCCAGTCTGTTGACGCGTCGTCAGGTTGGATCAGCTGACCCAAACGTCAGCCAGCCGGACATAAACAATTGAACAATTCACCAGATGGTTCTGAGACTTAAACTCTATATACACAAGAAATCCTACCTAACAATAATAATAAAATAGTGATAATAATAAAATAGCGATAATAACAAAATAGCGATAATAACAAAATAATGATAATAACATAGTGATAATAATAAAATAGTGATAATAACAAAATAGTAATAATAACAAAATAGTGATAATAACAAAATAGTGATAATAACAAAATAGTGATAATACCATGGTATTTTTCATATATTAACAGATAATAATATAATGCCGAAAGTCTCTATTTTAGCTATAAACGGGGACTTTCGCGCTATAATATTAAGTGATGAACATATTCTCTTACAATAGTTAAATAACACAGGATGACCAATTTCGAAGATATAACAATATAAAATATGAAATAAATTTAAAACACTTGAAATATTGGAAAGTTTCCAGACATAATGGAGAGACGCAGTGCTCATGGAGCTCATGGGGCTCCTGGAGAATGTAAACAAACTGGGTGGCATGCGGTGACTGTATTAGACAGTCAAGTGGGGAGAGCAGTATAGAGATTTTTGGTCATAATTTGAAATGTCCGTTTTAGCAGAACGCTGTAAAGTGGGGCTCTACTGTATGTGAAAGATGAGGTGAACCATAGGCAGAGACTGAATAGACAAAGAATGTTATCCATGGAAGCATAAAGGGGAATGCATGAGAGTATAGTGGTACCAACACTCTTGTATGGTTGTGAAGCTCTGAGGAGGAGGCTGAAGGGGCCTGTGCTCCGAGTTTCTGACGCGGTCTTGGTAATTATGCAAAAAATATGATTTTAGGTTTTGTTTACAGAAAAATAGTGTAAGTATCTGGGAACATTTTGGTGAAAACCCCATCATAATACAATGTTTCTAAAGCAAATTATAGCTACTTGAAACATGTCAGGTGACGACCCGCCAGGTAAATACGTATATGCGTAAGTGCGAGGTGAATTTTTTATATATTTTTTGTTTGTTTTTAATTTTCTATTTTTCTTTCTAATACACTAAATTTACCACTTAATATCATTACAATGTGGGTGGAGCTTATATCAGAGGTGGGAGGAGCTTGCATGATGATGCAACAACCAGTTGCCGTGACAACAGTCTGATCACCACCTACAAAATGTCTTATTCTGACCCTATTATTGCTAATATCCTTTTTCTGCTTATATCATTTATTCAGTAGTGATAGTATACATAATATAACTTGGATAAATGCATAAGAAAGCCAGCCAAAATAATAATATTTGTATATTATACCCGGAGGTGGTGGCTGACCCTAATGAAATGATTACATCAAACATTCCCTATAAGAGAAGGGTTTTCTATGTTACCTCTGGTAGCACTACAGAAAATGATGTACTATACACGGGGAAACAATAAGAAATCACTTATATCGCATAAATAAACCCAAAGTAGCACAATTTTCATAATTTGACGTAATTTTGACGTAATTTGCTAGTCCGCGCGTTTACCCGAGTATCTAGAAACCAGGATTTTAGTCTATTGCTTGTCACTGCACCATTATTAATGATTGGATTGAAATGATTTTCACAGACAATATAAAACAAAGTGTGTTTGAAAATATTAAGGTAAAATTTTTGGAATATCTCAAATATTTTTGGTTTTGTGGGGGGTAAAAGGCAGATATTTTGGTGAATGTCAAAAAAGCGCACCAAATGTATTTTTTTTCACCATAATAATAAGGTATATTAGATGAATTTTATCCATTAATATTCGTTTTAGACGTATTCTAACAGTTAGAAATGTCAGAAATGTCATTCGTAGTGCCAATTTGTCATGCCATGCTGCCATATGTCAAAATCAGTAAATATTTTTTTTTCTCCATTGTTTGTTGGCCAATCATATTGAAACTTTGTCATATTCATTTACATATGCACTTCTAAATGTGCACCAAAAATAAAAGAAATTGGGCAGAAAATAAAGGAGGGGAACGAAAATGAGAGCCAGGTCCCTGAACAGTGAAGATGTCATATCTGAGGGAAATGTGTGGTGTAAATATTATGCAGAGAATATGTAGCATGGAGATAAGAAATGTGGGGTTACTAAAAGTATTATCCAGAGAGCTGAGGAGGGGTTATTGAGGTGATCTGGACCTGTAGAGAAGATGTAGCAAAATGGGATGACCTGGAGCAGGGGTGGGCAAAGCCATCAACTGGGAACTGTACTTTTCTGATAATGCTTGTGTAACAGCTCGTGTTTTCAACAGGGGAAAATGAACAAAGTTTTGCTCATTCAGCTGCATATACATGAGTACAGTGGAATCTCAAATTTCGAATGTATCACTTATTGAACTCTTCGAAAATCGAACACTTTTTTCGAACCAACTTTGTCCCTATTATTGAACTTGCCCCTATTTTCGAACCGCCGGGTACTGTAACTGTCTATCAGCCCGCTCTGTCCGCGTCCCCACGCAGGTGCTGTGAGCCAGTCTGGTTTTGTTGATGCTTGAGTGAACACTAACCTGCACTCTCATTCAAACATTTCATTGTGTTTAGTACTTGTGGGACTGTGAAATAAGCTACCATGGGCCCAAAGAAACTTGCTAGTGGTACCCCTGTGATAAAGAAAGTGAGAAACACCATAGATGTGAAGAAGGAAATAATACAGAAGTATGAGAGTGGTGTGAGACTTGTTGAGCATGCCAGGATGTATGGGAAAAACAAGTTGACCATCGGTTCTATCCTGGCAAAGAAAGAACAAATCAAGGAACCTGATGTTGCAAAAGGTGTTAATATGCTAACCAAAAAAAGACCACAGACAATTGATCAGGTTGAGAAGTTGTTGCTGGTGTGGATCAGGGATAAAGAGATGGCAGGTGATAATGTTTCAGAGACCATTATTTGCGAAAAGGCAAGGAAGTTGCATGTCGATCTGGTACAGAAAACTCCTGGAACCAGTGCTGATAGTGAATTTAAGGCCAGCAGAGGCTGGTTTGACAGATTTAAGAAGGGTAGTCCTAGTGGCATTAAAAGATAGAGAAAGGAAGTAACCCCAGAGAGGGCTTTGATACCTGAAGTCCTCATGGAGGGGGATTCTCCTTCCAAACACTAACCCTAACTCCCTCTCTCCTCCTCCCTATCTTTCAGATGCCATCACCAATCTTCAGTAAAGGTAAGTAAAAATGTTATTTATATGTTTATTTACATTTATTAATACAGTACATAATTGAACACTATATGTATTTGTTGTATGTATGTAAAACTGTAATTAATCTCTATAAAATGTATTTTTTTGTGAATATTTTTGGGTTTCTGGAACGGATTAATTGTATTTCCATTATTTCTTATGGGAAATATTGCCTCGTTTTTCAGACTTCTCGAATTTAGAACTAGTTCCTGGAATGGATTAAGTTCGATATTTGAGGTTCCACTGTACATGACTTGATCTTGGCGAGCCGCATGAAAACCTTTGGCGGGCTGCACGCAGCCCGCGTGCCGCAGTTTGCTCACCCCTGACCTAGAGGGTGTATAAATCTGTAGTGGAGGGAAGGTTGGGTAGGGGTCATTCTTTTTCCCCCCTCATAGGATGGAGGGGGTAAGGGAAGTTATATGTACAGTTCACTTGGTTTTTGGGACTTGTTGGGGTGCTGGAGTGTGAGCAAGGTAACATTTTCTGAAGGGATTCAAGGAAACTGGTTAGCCAGACTTAAATCCTGGAGGTGGGAAGTACAGTGCCTGCACTCTGAAGGAAGGGTGGAGATTTTTGCAGTTTGAAGGGGCATCTGAACTATAGTATTCGTGCACCTCTAACAAGACAGTGATAGAGTGAATGGTGGTGAAAGTGTTTCTTCTTTTTTGAGTTGCCCTACCTTGGTGGGAGACGGCTGACATGTAATAATAGTAATATAATAATAATAATAATAGTAATAATAGTAATATGATGATAATCCATTAATAAACAGTAATTCCATTCTGTAGAGAGTGAAAATTTGTTTTGTTGGAGCACCTCTAAATGAAGTTCAGTTGTCACAAAACTGAGCATCAAAATTTTTTAGCCAAAAAATAAACAGTGAGAAGAGATGAAAGAAATTTGAAAATAAATTTTCTACCTCCTATCAGTGGGGAGCTGAAAACATGGTGTTATTGGGGCACCTCTGTGTATATGAAATCAAATTGGCACAAAACTTGACGTGAATAATTATTAGCCAAAACAGAAACACAACGAAGGAGTGAGGCTAAAGAATTTCAGGTCTCATTTTACGTTGATAACAGGATGCTTTTGATTCTTCGGTTGTGTGAGCATACAATATTTTTGTATTTGTGTATTTAGGATGCACTAGACCTAGGATTGTAACCCATTTGAACTTAGGAGTTTGACTCTATGTGGGAGGTAGGAGTGGTGATGGGAGGGGGATGTCTAGGTGTGCATGCTGAAGGTAGGTTTTCAAAGAGTGTGACAAATATATCAGTGTGCATTATATATATGCTGAATGTATATCTCATACCATGTGCACAGTCTTTCACTACTGATTTTAACTTTCATTTCACAGGGAGGACAGTGATTTTTGTATAAGTATCAGCAACTATTTCATTAAATGATGACTATAGAAGAGCAGCTGTTACAACACAGTGTGGTGTGCTGCAGTCCTTTCACATGGATGGTAAGAGGAAGGAAGGCTGTGAATTCTGTAATGAAAATTAATTTTTTTTTTTAAGTTTTGAATTTAAATAATATATTCAGAAATAATAGGTATTGTCTTATAAAAATGAATGGGGAAAATTATAGCATTTTGCATCTAACATCAGATTCTTCACCCTTGTTATGTACAGGAATTTTATACACACACATGAAGTGTACATATTTCTTTAATTTGATTAGAGGAATTTTATATACTATATTTATGTTCTTAGATAATTTGTATTCTGTATTTATCCTCACTGGAAACACCACAGTATTTTGATCACTGCACATATGTACTGTGGTCAGTGTGCAAACCCCATGGTTGGTGTGCAAATCCCATGGTTAGTGTACAAATATGTATAATCCCTATAGGAATGCTATGGTTATTATATATTCATTGTGTCTTGTGAAATATGCCTAACCTGTCTCTCAAGTTTGCAAGCAGAATAACATTAGTGGCAAACAGTGGAATAATCTTCATGAATTGAAACAAGGTATTCTTTAAATCACTGTATAACACACTACACATAAGAGTAATCCTTAAATATGTAGCACCAGCATGGAACCCACACCTTGCCAAATAGTGTTGAAGGTACTGGAAATGTTCTTACAGACTGATAGGAGGAAAAGAGGAGATCTGGAGTCTACCTGGAGGGTATTTTGGGGATCAACACCCCCATGGCCCAGTCCATGACCAGGCCATGGGGGTGTTGCTCTTCCTGTTGATCAGGGCCTTATCAACAGGAAGAGCAAGAGGCCATAGTTTTGAACATTGGAAAATTATTAAATTATATGATAAATCTCAAAGATGAGACACCATGAGCTTAGCTCTGCTCACATAGCTATAAGCTAGTTATTACACAAAGCTCAAAATGAGAGAGTTTGCAGCCACACTAATACTGGATCTCACAGGCAAAACTGTCAGGAAAATCTGAGCAAAGCTGACTTCATGATGGGAGGAATGTATGCAGATCAAAAGAAGAGATGGTCTCGACAATCTTAAAAAGGATAAACTATTTGACTTGGGAAGGTTAACTGAAGATGGACACTGAAAAAGATGAACTCTCTGATAAGGAAGAGTTGGTTAAAACTGTTAGCAGTATGAGTTGTTGTGTAATGTTTCCATTGTACAATCATCATGGGTTATGTATTTCAATAAGCATAATGTTATCCAGGCTGTCAAAAATTTTTGTTTTGAAGGCAAAATGGTGCAGCTAAGAAACAAAGTTTCTTACCAAAATCATGAAATGACTGCCTCAAAGGCATGAAGCTGTTTCATTGCTTTAAAAATTATCAAGTGGTCTCCAAATCCTGTATATTGTCCAGTGTTCAGTTAGGCTATAGAATCTTTAATGTCATTGGGTTATGCTGTATACTAATGTATTTTCATACATGGTGGAATTTACATGCTAAGATACTATCTACTTCCCTTTCCCTAAGATGTAACTTACAACAATTTACTGCTAAGTGAACTGGGGCAAGCATGTGTAAGAATATTTGAGCATTGTAAGCTTTTATTGGTACAGAACTCTCACACAATTCCACATTCCATATATAATTTCCTCCCTTTATTTTAGATCAAAAATAAAATCCCTTTGTAACCAAATGGGCTGGGACCAAGCAAGTTCTGGATTTAGATGTGTTTTCTCCAGAGATACAGAAGAGTGCACTTGCAACACACAGTAAGAAAGCTTACTGATCCATTAGTGAAGTAAATGTTGAATATTCACTTCCAAAGTGCTTCCTAAAACCTAGTAATCACTTGTCATCTACCATTGTTTATGTTGCTCTCATTACAGTATAATTTCATCTGCATTAACCCTTCAAAGGCCATTGGGCTAAAAATAAAATTTTCTTGTATGATCCATTAAATTTAAAAAAAAAAAATCCTTAAAGAGATCATTTTCCTGGTGGTAATAAATAGAAGAGGTGCAGAGTTAATAAAAGTATTATCCAAAGGGTTGAGGTAGTTTGGAGATTTAGAGAAAATGGAACAAAATGGGGTGACATGGAGGGTGTATAAATCTGTAGTGGAGGGAAGGAGGGGTAAGGATTGCCCTAGGAAAGGTTGGAGGGAGGGGGTAAAGGAGTTTTTGTGTACAAAGGGCATGGACATCCAGCAGGGGTGTGTGAGTGTGTTGGATAAGAGTGAGTGGAGGTAAATGGTTTTTGGGACTTGATCTGTTGGAATGTGAGCAAGTAACATTTTGTGATGAAATTTAGGGAAACCATTTAGCTGGACTTTAGTCATTGAGGTGCGAAATACAGTGCCTGCACTCTGAAGGAAGAGTGGTGATATTTGCAGTTTGCACAGGCATCTGAACTGTATTATGTATTAGTATGCCTTTGGTAAGACAGTAATGGAGTAAATGATGGTGAAAGTGTATTTTTTGGGATCATCCTTCCTCTGTGGGAGATGGTCAGTGTGTTAAAAACAAAATAATTACATAGCTGCAAAGTTGGCATTTTGTGTACCCAGCATAGGAACATCGGGTCCTGCCGTTCTGTGCATAATAATGTAAATATTGACTTTTAAACTTTTTCTTCAATTTATATATTCTTTTTGCTTTATTTCCACCAATATTGAGCAAAACTATAATCATTATGGACACTGGTAGTTATTTTCATGTAAAAACAGTGATTCAGATTTTTTTTTTTTTTAACATGTCGACCGTTTCCCACTGAGACAGGGTGACCCAAAAAAAAAAAAGAAAGAAAAAACTTTCATCATCATTCAACACTTTCACCATCACTCATACATAATGACTGTCTTTGCAGAGGCACTCAGATACGACAGTTTAGATGTCCCTCCAAACTGCCAGTACCCTAAGCCCCTTCTTTAAATTGCAGGCAATATACTTCCCATTTCTAGGACTTAAGTCTGGTTAACCAGTTTCCCTGAATCCCTTCACAAAACATTACCCTGCTCACACTCCATCAACTTGTCAGGTCCCTAAATCCATTCGTCTCCAGTCCTGTCTAACACGCTCACAAACACTTGCTGGAAGTCCAAGCCTCTCACCCACAAAACCTCCTTTATCCCCCTCCCTCTAACCTTTTTGGGGATGACCCCTACCCTGCCTACCTTCCCCAATAGATTTGAACACCCTCCAAGTCATCCTATTTTGTTCCATCCTCTCTAAATGACCAAACTGTCTCAGCAACCCCTCCTCAGCCATTTGAATAATGTTTTTAGTAATATTACTTATGGGTCAGTAAACATAAGTAAACTTATGCCTGGGAGGACCACTAGCCCCAGAGGGATGGTCTGGGGTCATCAATGTTTTCATCACTTGTATGCTTTGCTCTAGTGTCACCATCAGCAACTTTATTCTCATAACTATAAATATTCTCAATATTGTCACTTTCCATAGCGTCATTTATGTTTGGGGAATAAAATGACATCAATTTTCTTTGGAGTGAGTGTAGCACACCGCATTTCATTGTAAACGTAAGACAGAGCAACGTGTGGTTCCACAATGCCCTTGGCATGCAGGGATTGTTTCTCAGTTGTTCACACCTACTGTGCACACCCATTCTTTATTGTGTAGGCCACTTGTGCTCCTTGCGCCAAACTTGAAGATAGTAGGCATATGACAAATTTGCGTTGTCGACACTTTAAGGGTTAAATGTTGTTTCAGCTGTCTGGTAATGTTCCTAATATAATTCCTCTGAAGGAGTGGGGTGCCTTGATGCTGGTGAAAGGCTCTTTATCCAAGGAATTGAAGCTATTCTCTTCTTCCTTGGATTAAACCAGTTTACCTCCTAGTCTCCAGGCACTAGCTTCTTTGGGTTTAGTGCTTTCTCACAGATAAAATACTTATTATAAATTAGTTTTGCCAAAGTGTCAACATACTTGGCAGCACTTTCAGTTATCAGGATACTTGTCTCTTACAATAGTAAGCTTGCAAATACCATCTCTTTTCTGTATGATGATTACACCAGTCATTAGAAAATGGAAATAATTCATTATTATTCAAAAGACTATTAAACTGGCCTTATTTATAATATGTGGTCCAGAAAGTAGCTGACTCTCACTGCACTGTTGTTTGAGTTACAATAAAAGAACTTTGTCTAACTCTGGGACATTAGATTTTCTTAAATTCTTTCATTTTGCAGTATGGTACCATTGTTAGACTCTCAGAGTATAATTTGGGGGTTTCAAGCCCCTTCTTTTTGTCTCTTAGCTAGGTGGCTTGGTGGATGTGTGGCTGCCAACCTGGATTGCTGGTTTATGAGCATGAAAGGTAGGGTAGGGTAGGGAGCAGTATTCATGCAACAGTGGCAACACTGTGTAACGAGGGTATTCATGGATGTGGAGAGGGATGTATAATCTCTGTTTTTCCTTTGAGCAGCTTGTCACCCATCTCCCCATTTTTTCTTTAAAAAACAGAGACCTTAATTTATGGATAGTTTCATTGATGATTTGCCTCCTCCTGGGCTCCTTACCCCTGCAACATGTTTACCTTGCATTGACCCGCTCACAGACCTTCTTTTGAACCCAGTATCACTTTTGGATAACACCTCGTTGCCTAACTCCAATGCCAGTGTTTTGGCTGACCACATGCTGTGTGGAGTCACTTCTGTGACAAAAGAACCACAGACTGGTCAGCACCTGGCTTTTAGGCATGAAAGGGCATTTGCCTGTTGATGTTATGTGTAGTGAAACGTTCTAGTTGGTGAGCTACTTGCCTATTGTTAATTCCACTACTTCTGTGTGAACAGTCTGGAAAAATGTATATACTCGCCAGACCTAATTCTGTTCTTATGGTAGTTGCTAGTGCTAGCATTGCATACCCTGTTGAGGTTGCCATAGAAATTAGGCATCATCTTGTCTGTGTATCCCAAGAGCTCCATCTCTTTTTCTTATTTCTTTCCTCCAAACTCGAGAGGAAGTTGGCCCCTCTAGATTCTACTTCTCACATTGAGGAGCCTTATAATGTGCCCTTCACACTCAGTGAATCTGTGTAAGTGCTTTTCTTATGTAAACCCACATCAACTGGGGCTGATGATATACATGGCTGTATGCTTCTTCCCTGACTAGCCAGGCTGAAAGCATCTTTAACCCTGTGTATCCTTAACCCTTAAATGGTCCAAACGTATATATACGTTCTCTCGTGTAGCGCCCCGAATATTTTAAGAAAAAAGTCTTTTTTTTTTTTTTTTTTTTTTTTTTTTTTAGGAAAAAAGAGCATGTGGTACCCAGGCGTCCCCAATTTTTTTCATATGGCGCACACTGAGTGTGCATACCCACTCTCTCATGTCTAGGGGACTCAGGCCTATCGTGCCAATGTTGAATGAATGACAAATGAAACGTATATATACGTTTGCGGTGCTATGCGAGAGAACGTACAGTGGACCCCCGGTATTCGATATTAATCCGTTCCTGAGAGCTCATCGAATACTGATAATATTGAAAACTGAATCAATTTTCCTCATAAGAAATAATGGAAATCAAATTAATCCGTGCAAGACACCCAAAAGTATGAAAAAAAAAATTTTTACTACATGAAATATTAAGTTTAATGCAATAGAATAATTACAATAACAATAAAATATTTGACACTTAACTTTAATGAAGATCTGGTGATGATTGATGGGATGGGAGGAGGGGAGAGGTGTTAGTGTTTAGAAGGGGAATCCCCTTCCATTAGGACTTGAGGTAGCAAGTCCTTTTACCGGGGTTACTTCCCTTCTTCTTTTAATGCCACTAGGACCAGCTTGAGAGTCACTGGATTTCTGTCGCACAACATATCTGCCCATAGTGGCCTGTACCTCCTGTTCCTTTATGACATTCCTAAAGTGTTTCACAACATTGTTAGTGTAATAGTCACCAGCACGGCTTGCAATAGCTGTGTTAGGGGATTGTCATCAAAAAGGTTTGCACTTTAAGCCCATTGCACACATTTCCTTAATCTTTGAAGTAGGAAACTTCTTCAATTTCTCTATCCCCTCCTCCGAAGCAGTTTCCTCAAGTGTGGCCTCTTGCTGTTGAAGATGATGTATCAGCTCATCAGTGGTTAGGTCTTCACTGTCTTCCTCCACCAACTTTTTCCACATCCTCCCCACTAACCTCCAACCCAAGGACTTCCCCAATTTGCCACAAGGGATTCCTCAACCTGCATGGGATTCCCCGGGTTAGCCTCAAATCCTTCAAAATCCCTTTTGTCTACACATTCTGGCCACAGTTTTTTCCAAGCAGAGTTAAAGGGTCCTCTTATCACTACCCCCCCCAAGCCGTACCTATAAGGTTTAAAACAATTGAGGATATTAAAGTGACCCTTTCCCAAAAAACTCTGTTAGAGTCAGTTGAGTTTCTGTGGTCACTATAAAGCACTTTGAAACAGCTTTTGTGTACAGTTTCTTGAAGTTGGAAATGACCTGCGGGTCCATGGGCTGCAGGAAGGAGTGGTATTATGAGGCAAAAACTTGACCTTAATGAAGCTCATGTCCCCAGAAAGTCGCTCTGCCAAGTCTGTAGGATGACCAGGGCATTGTCTAATACCAGGAGGCATTTAAAGGTCAAATTTTTCTTTTCAGTTAGGTAATTTTTCAGTGGGGGCAAATGCTTGGTGTAACCAGTCATAGAAAAAGTCCCTAGTGACCCCATGCCTTACTGTTTCCCCTCCACAGCACACCCAAATTAGCCTTGAGGACATTGCTTTTCATGAACACTCGGGGAGTTTCAGAGTGATAACCCAATAAAGGTTTTCACTTTGCAATCACCACTAGCATTGGCACACATGAGAAGATAAGCCGTCTTTCATAGGCTTATGTCCTGGGAGTGCCTTTTCCTCCTGATAATGTAGGTCCTCTTGGCATTTTCTTCCAAACAGGTCTGTTTCGTCACAATTAAACACTTGTTCAGGTTTCAGTCCTTCACTGTCTATGTAATCCTTGAATTCCTTCACATATTTTTCAGCTGCTTTTTGGTCCAACTGGCAGCCTCACCATGCCTAAATCACACTATGTATGCCACTACAATTCTTAAATTTTTTCAAACCAACCTTTGCTGGCCTTAAATTCACTCACATCACCACTAGTTTCGGGCACTTTCTTTCCCCAAATCGTCATGCAACTGCCTAGCCTTTTCACAAATGATCGCTTGAGAGATGCAAATCTCCTGCTATCTGTTTTTCATTTATCCACACCAATAACAATCTCTCAACATTTTCTAACACTTGCGGTCGCGTTTCGTATCACTGTTGCACCTTTTGCAAGAACAGCTTCCTTGATTGCCGTTTTCCGGGTCACTATAGTAGAGAGGGTTTGATTGGGTTTATTATACAACCTAACCAGCTCCCGACAAAACGCACTCCACTTTCGTACTTTGCAATTATCTCTTTCTTCATTTTCATAAGTCATTAGTGACTTTTTTCTCAAAGGGTTGGGCACTAGAAGCTTTTTTGGGGGCCCATGGTGACTTATTTTGCAAAAACAAGCACCAAACACAGTGATAATAATGGATAATATGGAATGTACCGAATGTATCCTTAGATGCGCGCACACTGGCTGGTTTTGTAAATGCTGGCACACACGGGGCAGTTCAGGCCACACGTGGACAGGTCTTGTATGAAATCGTATCGAATCCCGGGGTTTCATTGAATATCGAGGAAAATTTTTTGCGATAATAATGCATCAAATACCGGATTTATCGAATACCGGGGTCCACTGTATGTATATGTTGGACCGTTTAAGGGCTCTTACCCATTACTGTCTTTTTGCTTGCTATTATTGATCATACTTCTGTTCTCCCTTCCAATTTTTAGTTGTCTCTTTATGTTAAACATTTTGCTAGGGGTTTGTGTAGGCACTGTTACCTTGTGACAGCCTCTCCAGAGTACTGCTGATTGTGCTTCCAGGGGCTAATCTCTCATGGTTTTAAAATTTTCTGTTTCTGAAACACATCAGCTTACTTTCAAAAGATTCCTGTTGTCCCTCAACTGTTCTGCACCTATATTGTTCCCGTACCTATTAGCAAGATAATCAAATTTCTTGGGTCTTCTGTTTGATTCTGAATGTCCTGGAAGCCTTGCATAACCACCCCTGAAAGCTGCAAGTCATACTGTCTAAACCTAAAAACTCTCACCATCTTTCTTGGGAGATGGGGAAGAAGCTAATAGATGCACTGTTCTTTGCCTTTAACCCTTTGACTGTTTTGGTTTGTATATATACGTCTTACAAGTCAGTGTTTTGGACATAAATATACTCAATAATTCTAGCGGCACGCAGTACACAATGAGAAAAAAAAACAGACCGTGTTTTTGGATTAAAACGCCGAATTTGAGTGTATTTTTGTATAGTTTTTATGGTTGTATTCTCGTTTTTTTGGTCTAAATTGATAGAATGAAAGGCATTTTACAGAAATAAGATGATTTCGATTAGTTTCACAATGAAAACGCCCTTTGAAATTGAGCTCAAAGAGCAGAAATGTTTTGATTTTTACCAATGTTCAAGAGTAAGCAAATCACACCACACGTCCAATACACATCAACTGGGGAGCCCTAATATTCTTTCACTAGTGCACTGATATTATTTATACCATTTTTACAATAATGCAGTAGTCTGCCTAACATAAGCCCTTCTATTTTTTGTGTGAATAAAAATAAAAATAGAAAGCAAGAATAATATAAGAGGGACCGGGAGACGTGACTAATGAACAGAGGATATGTTATTTTAGTGTCAAGAATGTCTGCATTTTATTCTGGATCCTATTTTGAAATTGGCATTTTTTTTTAACCCTTTGACTGTTTACGACGATAAAAACGTCTTAACGAGCCAATGTTTCTGACGTATTTATTACGCACAAATTCAGCGGCTTCAAATCAAGCGGGAAAGGCCTGGTAGGCCTACATGAGAGAGAATGGGTCTCAGTGGTCGGTGTGCACCCTGTGAAAAAAAATCTGGGCCCCCAGCGGTGCATTGTGGGAACGCCATGTTGTTAGTCCATTTCCCCATGCCTCTCGGTAAGAAGTTCCTCACTCCTCGGCAGATTGGGGGTCTTTTGTTCCCAAGTGATAGCTCTAACACGATGAAAATGTCAGTGACAGTGAATTCCAGGGTTTTGAAGTGATTGCTACCGGAAAAAGTCCCAGGATAACGTAATTAGTGATGAAAACCCAGATGACCCACAACCTTCCACCTCTGGTG